AGAAGTCAGTCTCCCACTGACCCCTGCTTAAATGCTTTTAGAGGTACCTGGTAAATGCTTCTAGAACTTTTCTACGCATTAACAAGTTCATAGGGATATATGTTGTTGTTATGTGCCGTGGAGTCGGTGCCGACTCATCGCGACCCTATACATGGTTTCCAAGGTTGTAAATCTTTACGGGAGCAGAAAGCCTCATCTTTCTCCCACGGAACAGCTGGTAGTTTCAAACTGCTGACCTTGTGGTTCGCAGCCCAACTCATAACCACTATGCTACCAGAGCTCCTTGGGAGACCAAAAAGGGGCTCTACAACTTGCCCAGTGAAATAAGCTTCTTGTGAAGCCTTTGTAGAGTATAGGGCCTGAAGTGGAATCCTGAGTCCATCCAGAACCTTCTGAGGTGGGGCACCCCCACTTGAAAGGACATGTAGACCAACCTGGAGCAGCTAGAGGAGCATAAAACACTTCTTGAAAGAAAGACCAGCAGGGGAAAAAAAAAAAAAAGCAGACCGTTTGGCTTTTACAAGAACAAGCAAGCTGTTCACCTGGCAGCCATCAAGGCAAGCCATCAAGTCCATTCAGGACAAACTCCCTTCCAAGATTGAAACTCAAAGGAAACACATGTGCAGGATTGTAAACTCACTGGTGACCATGTTGGTCTACTTGGGAGTGTAAGGTAAAGACAGTAATGAAGACATGGGCTGAGCTTGACCATGTTCCACAGACTCCTGTCAACCCTGAGATGAGAGAGAGAAGAGGAAGGGCTAGTTGGTCCAAAACCTGGAGAGACTTGGGAAACCCTGAGCCCATGGACACTGACCTAGCCATTGGGGGCTAGAGTTGAGAGTGAAGTATCCAGCTGATAAGAAGTGGGAGGAAGTACACAAGAATACCCAACTTGCAGATAGTACCCATCTGACCCAGCCTGATGGCTTGATGATCAGAACTCAACTAGAGGAACATAAAGACATTTGATACAGGAAGCAAGTGTAATTTGCTACAATTTGATGAACTTGACCTTTACTTATAGATGTAGTAGCTCAAAATACCAACCAAGAGGGAAGGAATCTTCACATCAAGGATCAAGTCTATCTATCCTCTCGGTACACAGGATTGATAGAGATGGGCAATTTAGACATTAGCTACCTAAAATGGGGAGGGGAGGGTGGGATTATACAGGCACAAAGTGGCTGGCTTATGAGTTTACACGAGGAAGTTTAGTTTCAGAGTGAACGGAGGACGGTAGAATCCCCATTGAATACTTTTCTTCTTGTCTATACTGGTCAGAAGAACATGCTCAGCATTTTTCAAGCTGGGGGAACTGAAGAAAAAATTCAAGCCTTGACTTTCATTATTGAAAGATTCTCTGGGAAAATTATTGAATGATGCAAAAAGCATCAAGAGAAGATGGAAGGAACACACAGAGTCACTCTACCTATAGGAAATGGTTAATGTTCAACCATTTCTAGCGGTAGCTTATGATCAAGAGCCAATGATATTGAAGGAGGAAGTCCAAGGTGCATCGAAGGAATTGGCAAAGAACAAGGCACCAGGAATTGATGGAATACAAATTGAAATCTTTCAAGAAAGTGAGGTGGCACAGGAGGAACTCACTCTCCTATGCCAAGAAATTTGGAAGACAACTATCTGACCGACTGATTGGAAAAGATACATCTTTGTACCCATTCCAAAAGAGGTGCCCCAACAGAATGCAGAAATCTTCAGACAATCTCTTTGATCTC